ATTTTTTGGGAAGAAAACAAATTGGAAAAAATAATTTCAAGGGGAGAAAAAAAATTCATCGAAAAAAATATTGACAAAAAGCACCCTCGGTAATGGTGTAATGTGTGTAATTGGTGACATACAGTCCTCAAGAGGGCGACATGCATTGATTAAAAATATATTCATTTTTATCAGCTGGTAAAATATAACACTGAAAAGTGATCGGCCAAGAAAAATTATTTAAAAAAAATTGGATCCTCGCAATTGATAACACGTGACGTGCTCTGGACCAATCACATCTCGGTTTCTGTCTAAGCTATCTCATATTACCGTTTGTCTACACCCACGGAGAGTCCAAAATTCCTCGGGTTAGCTGATAGCGGAGCTTGACCGAGAATTCGATTCGCTCAGTTCAATAAAGCATCTTAAAGACGTTAGAAACTACCCGTCAATACTAAATGAAAATATAACAAAAATTTCAGTTAGTATTTCTGCTAAATTGTTGAATTACTTCCCAGCTAGTCACGTCTGGAACCCGTTTCACAAAGCCTTTTTTCAATGACAAATGACAAAAAACAGTGACAAATCTGCTGATAACCAATCAGAAGCAAGGATTTCAGTAGCTTAAAACAAAAACTGTAATTTGTCACTGATGACAAGTTTTGTGAAACGCCCCCTGGTTGCTCGGTCAGAATGCGTATGTTTTGTTTCTTCAACTATACGCTGGAGATAAGATTGATGTTCTGAACATTTTTTTCAATTTCATAAAGTCAGATGATAAAAGGTGAAAATGTGAAAGTTGATGACCGAAAAAAGATTAAGCACATAAAGATATTGCACACCAATTTACCTTGAGTGCACTACTTGAATATATGCGTATCGATTGTAAAAATTGCGACATATGTCTCTTTTGACGTTTGACACGTGACGTCATACGGGTTTGCAGGCTATCCATGAATTGGCTTATTGTGTTATTACACGAATTGTCGCTTTGCTGATCTATGTGCATACTCTACTAACTTTCCCGTGTTTATATATGGGGAGGCCTACATTACAAAAAAGGTTTGAATTCGTGATAAATATCAACATCAAAAATTCAATTTCGATTTGACCCGAAAAACTTCGGATGTTTGCTTCTTTATTATTGTTATTATTAAGTAAGAAACTTAAAGAGGCATGTTCCCCATATTCCAGAGGGCGTTCAAAATACGTACCCGCTGGCGGACGGTGCTAGCTGCCTATTGACACCAACAGAATACGGCTCTTACGCAGATGGCATGTTCCGAATGCCCGCACAATGCCGATTAGCGCATACATGTGCCGAAGTAATACCATAGCAGTTCGGCTCTAAGATTCGGCTGCTGTTTCCGCCCACTTTCGTGACGTCACAATCGGCAGCGATCAGCTGGCTTGGCGAAGGCAGGCCAGGACGCGCGTACTTTGATTGACAGCTGTCTGCAAATTAGAAGTCGATCTTCGGAACCAAGATGGCGATGACCAGAGCAGCGCAACTACTCTGCCGGGACGGTGCTCCTTTAAAGAGTTACAAAAACGCTTTCAAAAAATATTTATTCATCGGCTGGTTTGTTTACAGTGTTAAGAAGTTGGCGCCTCTAGACACGCTTTTTTGGCGCGTTTCCGAATGCGCTCTTTTTTGCACACGAAACGCATAACACGCGATTGTGAGAGCGCGTACGTGCATGTGAAAATCGTGTCATTCTCTCGTGGCTTTTGGTAGAGGCAAGACCTGTTGATTTGGACAATCAAATGTTACCTAGGCATAATGCCTAGGTCGGCCTTCTTATAGTGACTCGGTAACATTGTTGAAGGTTGATTAAACAATTGCTAAATTTTTGTATAAAATGTTACTTATTATATTCCTTATACTGTACTAACCCTCTGACATGCAAAAAATCCTGAACATATTCTCAAACCACGAAGATATCTATGGTTTTCTTTGAAGGTGTCAATGTATGACACTCTCGAACAGTGATTAAAAGTAAATTCTCCCAACCATTTTTGAATCTCCCCAACCGTTTTTCCATGAAAAAAAGATATAAAACGGGCTATTAAAAATCTTTCAGAACTTAAATGTCTGTAATGGTATGTAGAACCAATTGATTGCCTTGTGGCAGTTTACATTCGCCTCAAATGTAATTAAATTGTTATAATATAGTTGGGAGAATTAAGGAATCGATCAGATCAGTTTTTCCCAATTGGTATCATTAGTAATGATCCGTTTTCATTCAAATTTTCAGATTATCTTTAATTGTACATCTAGCATTGAAGTCACTACCTTAGCACCGCTTTCTCTCATCTGAACGATGGGACTAAGTCCCTTTAAGAAGATCTTACGAAATGGTCTGAAAATCGTTCGTATGGCGTTCGTAGCAGTTCGTAATTGCATTTGTGGCCGAGGCTTTAAGGAAACTTCCCTTTGAAGACTGTCCATGTTTAGGGGAGCGAATGAAGGTTATGTCATAGTAAGGTATCCTACATGTTGGAATATCGTAATAATTGTGTCAACCATGAGTCACCGATTTGATCCCTGACGTGTACCGTTCGTACCTAACATGTACATGAACCCAACTGGCTTCCTGTCATTGTTTCATTCCTATGTAGGATTGGCTTTACTCATACCGGGAACTTACTTGTTCGTTATTTCAAAGTGAGACTTCTACCAACATCGACGCGATTTGTTTCCTCAGCTTCTTATAAATCGATGTTTTCAGCTTCGTTCGAATCCTTTAGGGATGACACTTGGCTTCAATTAGCAGGATTTCAAAGATTTGGTAAGATTGTCTTTCAAAGTTACCATAGCCCATGAATATGTTGCCAACCGATCGACATTTTATTAAATTGACAAACTTCTAGTGTAATAATTTTGAAGGAACGTCTACTCTGTTATTATGACTATAGTTGAGTCTGAGTAATACTATTCTGAAGGAATTCCTGCCGTGTTATCATGAATATAGATTGGTCTCAATTGTACTAACATGTCTCCCTTTTATTCTAGATCCGAAATATTAACAGCAAAGAGGAATCTTCTAGGTGGACAACATTCGAGTCCAACGAAAGATTTTACGTGGTTTATGTAAGTTACTGTCGGATTATTGTGTTCGATATACACAGTCATGATAACGGTGTATAAATCTTTAAATCAACCATCAACTGATTGTCGCATTAAACAAAAGTATTGCATGATTGTTCTATGACTGTAGCAGTTAATTGTACTTAAATAAATTCATTAAGAGGATGCTTGGCACATTACATAAACATGACATGAAAAACGAAGAGAAGAACCTCCTCTATGGCATCATAGTCAGTTGTCAATTTGCCAAAAAGGCTGCTTAGGAAATCTTGTGAGGATGTTTTCGGAAAGAGGATGTCTCTACTTTAAAGGGATCCGGTAACTTTGTCTTAAATCCTTTTTTGTTTTAATCCTTGATTTAGCTCATGCTGCTATAATAATTATAAACCTTTAGGTCAGTCAGGAACCCTATGACTTTTACAAGCCGATCGCCTGTCTGATTATCAAGATATTTATGATTGAAAATCGAAATCAAATTTTGCGTTTGCCAAACGGATTTCATAACACTACAGTCTACTGGGGAAAAAGAGTATGGCAAAACCGATCACTAAAAGGTTTTCACTTTTGAGGCACTTCTTGATCATTTTGAAGCGCAATTTATTTAGGGCTTCAATATAGCACTATATCACAGACACCTACCATCGCCTTTTTATTAATGTTTCGCTTCAATGAACAGCGATCTATTCAATTACGAGGACTCCTATACCGCACACGGCCAATTAGATAGGGACATACCTCATTTGATTTGTTATCACTTTAAATTGTCTTCGTGTGGTCACACTACTTAGCTCCTCGGAATATGCTAACCCTCTTCTACAATTACTTCATAGTTATTATCAATTATACTTCATTTTTTAAACATCATTTAAGAAACTATATCATAAATAAATTTCGTTAATCTGATCCAATCAAATCCACACAGTATTTTTGAAGTTACAAAGCGCTTCAAATTTTCATCCAAAACGGATCAGTATAAGGGACACTAACACAATAATAATACACTTCAAAACAAAAATCTGATCCAACAGAATAGTTCGAATAATACTTTAATTTTGTTTATATGTTATGGAAATATTAAGTTTCGTTATTATATGTGCATATATTATGTAAAAAACATTTTGACATGAAGAAATTATTGTTTGTATATGTTGTATTATACGGCCCAATTATTAATTTGTATTATTATTTATTCATTTTAAATTTTAGAGCCAAATAAAACATTGTGTGAGGAGTACGGATCAGAAGAAATGAGATCATCTTCAGTCATCTACAGACTGCCTCCTGACTTGTTCTTGATCTGCAGCAGATAGCATGTGGTGGTCGACGGCAGGAAGGAAAATATCCCCGACTGTAAACACTAAAGTTACTTACGTACATTGCAGCTATAGCAATGAAAACAAAATACTTTGTCATGATATTATGAACTGTTTCTGAGTGACTACAGGTAATACCGTTGGCTGAAATCCTTAATGAGATGATACCCGTCCTATCTCGTTAAGCTTAGCCAGGTTTAACTGATCATTAACAAGATCAAAGGTGGTTTATGATAATTATTGTTGTTTGAATTATGTATCATGTCAGAGCATATTGAGATAGGAGAATCACAATGTCGGAATTTGAACGCAAAGTTTCACGCAATTTGCAGTGCCCTGTTTGTCTCGAGCTGCTTAGTGACCCAAAGCAGTTATCATGTACACATACTTTCTGTAAAAAATGCCTTAATGATATTCTTAAAAGCTCTCCAAAAGATTCTCTAACATGTCCCATCTGTCGAAGCGAAACATATGTTACAGGTGGCAATGTCTTTAATCTAAATACTAATGTTCCTCTTAAGTCTCTCGTTGATGATGTGAGAAATAGCCAGCAGGTCTGTGAAACGTGCGACCAAAACTCGAGAGCTGTACATTTCTGTTGTGAGTGTGGTAAGAGTATGTGTAACAAATGCCGTGAGGTTCACAATAAATGGCAGCCTCATGTCAAGCATAGAGTTGTGAAAGTAGAAGACGTCAGAGAGGGAAGGGTGGTTATCGAAAAAGAGGTTTACTGCCAGGAACACAAAGCAGATAAAAAGAAATACATATGTACTGATGTATGTATCACTTGTAAGAAGTTCATCTGCTTGAGATGTCGAATGTTGTACCATGACAAGAAAGGACACACTGTTCAAGATGCTGAGGAAAATAATGCTTCTACCAAGAAACACATTGAATCTCTACAAGCCCGAGGTAAGACAAAAGCTACAACCATAACAAATCACGTGACCTGCATCAAGAATCAGAAGAAGCGTGTCACTGATCACATTGCCGGCAAAAAAGCTGAAATCGAGAAGAAGTATCAAGAATCACTCAAGAAATTAAACGAGAGAAAAGCAGCATTAGACCAGCAGTTGGATACTCAGGAAGTGAAATTATGTAAAATATTGGATGAGATGAAGGATGTTGATGAGAGGTTGATTACGAATATCGAGAGTGCGAGTGCGTTAGCAGGTAATTGCATGAAGGCTCCATTAGAAGGTGACATCATTGTTATTCGTGATACATTGTCTGGTGAGTTGAAGAATGTACTAGACAGGGATGATCCAGAGAAGAAGCTGGCTACGAATGTAGCTGACCGTGCAGAGCAACTGATATTCACACCTAACAATCAATGTGATCAGTTGAACATTGGTCAGGTCAGGTTCATGAAATGTGAGTTGGTATGTGATGTAGAACTCTCAGAGAAAGGTAACATGAACGGCATGGCTGCTACACCCGATGGTAGGATGGCAGTGGGATCTAGATTTGGAGGAATCGATATCTTCTCTGCTGATGGTCAGCTGCAGAAGACAGTCCTCAAGGATGTTGGTATGCTTGATGTAGGATTCCTGTCTAATGGTCGACATGTGGTCCTGAATGACAACAATGACATCACATTGTACACACAGGCGTATGAGAGGCGGCATGTAACGTTTGATACTCTGAGTAATGACGAAGGTGGGCTTGGTCGTCTCACTGTAGATAGTAATGATCAAATCTTTGTCGGCTACTGGAAAGCCATGAAGATCCATGTGTTCTTACAAGCAGGTGGGAAGGCGATCAGGGAGATACCATGCAATGGGTATATACCTATGACGATTACTAGTTATAACGACTTATTAGTCGTAACGTATGTTGATGAAGTAATTCTAATTGACAAAGATGGCAATTCAAAACACAAGGTACAGAAATCAAATGTTATTGCATACGCTGCTGTGACTCAGAATAATTCAATCATAATCGCTTGGGTCAAGCATGATGATGGGTTGGTCAGTATCGATGAGTACACCAGCGATCTGAAACACGTCCAAACTCTCTTTTCTGATTTCAGGATTGAGAAGCCTGAGAGAATATGGTACTATCTGCGCGAGTTCCGATCAGGGGAGATTGCTTTCTGTACTCCTGATAGACTCTATATATTCAAACTAACCATCACACCAGTCCATGAATGATAACAGACAAGTATCAGACGACTACACAATTATGAAATGATTGGAAATTGAATTATTTTCTTCCAACGTGGTTAATTGTATTGCAGCAAATTCTCTTGAGATACATAGTGCATAATACAACGAGTGAATATTTAATTAAATTCAAAAGGTATGATTTTATTCCCTCAGACTCATGGTTCTATCCACATTTTCTTTAATTCGTGTTTTTTAACGTAACAGAAATATAAGATGATCCCTTCCGATGTTATAGATTAGTAGCATCAAATGTTCATTCTATTACAGAGGAATAGAAGAGTGTGTATGGGAAGAGCCTCTGTCGTCTAAAAAAGAGCAAAGAAACGTTATCTGGATTTTAATCATGACGTCAAAAAGTATTTGTATTGCATTTATTTATACTTATCAATATTCATGGGTATAAACACAGAATAGATAACACATAATGTCATATATGTGTATTACGTATATATTTTACGTACATATATGTTTGTTTATATATGTATATACATTACACATGCATTATATAAAAATAGCATAATTAAATATATTCAAAGTGTATAACACAAGTACTGTATTTCATAAATCGTGTAAAAGTACACACAGATATAATGAATCAAATGCATGAAGAAAACAAAAAGATATTGTAACTTGGAAAGTATCGAAGGTGGAATCGCTATATACCATTTAGGATAATTTAATATGTTTGAATGGTTAATTTAAAAGAGTAGTTTTAGAAACATCAAATGATCTGTAATTGCAATTTACAATGTAATACACAATTGCGTAGTACACATGCTTGAATTCTTCTGTTGAAAATGGCAATGCTTAAAGAAAAACTTTCTGTTTTTATTATGGCATATTTATTTCTTAATTTTACTTTAACTATGTATAGAAACTTACGTTGAACCCGAATATTAGTAGAGTTGTGGACGCGGATTTGATTATTTGTATCTGAATATACTTCGTAATTAGACCTTTGATATGATAGTATTAGGGAATATGCTTTAGGATGATAATGAGAAATGAAGCCATGGCATGAGTGGCTAAAGAAAGTAGCACTTAGAAAGGCTTTTTTTTTTTTTTTTTAGTTAAAACTAAAAAATCTGTCTTTATTTAGGACAAAATTAAGGTACTTTTAACTGTATACAACTGAAATTGCATGTCATTGCATTGATATGCTGTGAATGGTCGTACTTGTAAATATTCCTAATTATCCTTGTTTTGTTAGTTTGTTTCTTTGTTTATTTCTTTCCTTCTTTCTGTCCTTTTAATGTGCTAGAATTATATTCTAAATTAAGCAAGTCTGCAAGAAGCCAGCCCTCAACAGGTCTTTGGCCTCTGTAGGCTCCTCCACTCTGAACCTGGTTATTTTGATTCGTTTTCTCACCTATCAGCTTAAGCACCCGTAAGAGTAAATGTGCATACAATGTGTATAATTATGTATACAATTTGTATTTCCAACTATATGCGAGTATTGTTGTTGTCTGTTTGTTATAAGTGGAAATGTACTGGAAGCCGTAAACTTAAATATGTATATAGCTATGGGGGAATGTTTGATGAAAAGAGTAGTAATTAGAATTAGTAATTCAAGCTGATAATAGCTAGTTGCTTTGTTTGAATTTTAACAGTCATGTAAAAAGATGAAGCTATATAATCATTACAATGTATGTTTACTACATGTATAGCTAGAGACCATCACGTGATGACCTTGTAAGCACGTACTCATATCGTCTTCCATATAGTAGGCCTTATACACAAAGTGAAATAGAAAATACTTGTTTTCTATTCTTTATTGTATACATGTAGGCTACATCTATATTAGTGAGGTACTATCCCTGTATTATCATTTTGTTTTGTAAGTTAAGTTCTTTGAGAAATTACATGTTAATAGTGTTATAGAGAAATTATAGGATTATACGTCAATGTTAAGGAGACTTTGTTGTGGTAATTTGGTGGATAATATTGTTTGCGGAATGTAAACAGTGCAAGTTCTGTATATTATATTGAAAAATCTCAAAGTAAATCATCATTGAAAAAACCCAAAGAAGAGCACTCCTGTATGTCATCGGGTAATCCCGAACTCCGAAAGCTTACAAAGTTATATGAAGAAAATGGGTCATCCTAAGCTCTACGAAAACTCAATAACTATGTGTTTCTTTAAGTTCTTTTAGATAAAGTTGAGTTCTAGTCAAAATAGTACATGGTCTTTAACAAGAAAAAAATATTTCACATGTTACATCAATATTCTATTTAACAAAACAAATTTGTAACAAAAACTTGAAAAGTCACGGTAAGGAAACATGTAAACAATGTGAAACACTCTGAAAGATTGTCATGATAGAAACAACCTTCGACTAACCTACTACAACTTGTTGAATATCACATGCACTGTCAAGGGAATATCGGCCTACAAACGAGATTGTGACCCAAACTCTTCAGCTATAAAATTGTCATGTTTGGTATTTTAACAGCGATCTCTTTTCAGGAGATAATCCTACTATGATATTCTCCAAAAATTGACATACAAAGAATGAGGAAACTCAACAATTATTTTTCGTTTTTACCAGGACTCAGTTTTCTCTTTCTCATTCTTTGTTGGACGATGTTTACTGTTTCGTAATATGAAGAACAGACCAAGGAATGTATATGGGAATATATAGACAAATGTATTACAACTATAACCTAAAATGTTCTGTATGTGGATGAACAGGTCATTGGGAGAAACTTATCTGACAGGTTCAGTGATTATCTTTATAATGTATTGCGAGCTGATCCGTTTCAAATAAATGTCGTACATGAGTTATATCTATGTAGAGGGTACCGAAAATGACATGTGTATGTATCAGTCTATATTTTGACGCAAAAATAAATCGTTTTATTTGAAAAGGGGTGAATCCCAAGCTAGAATCGTGTTTCTCTTAATGTAAGAATATTGATATAATATTAAGGAGCGGCTGCTGTCGATTTAATACCAAAGCTCCTCCTACCTCATTGAAAATACTAATATGTTGCTAAAGTCCGTTTTACAGATGATAGAATGTACAACAAATAACTGCCAGTAATTCTGGTTATAGCGGTGAATGATGTTGATGATGTGTTTTCTTTCTTGCTGTTTTCTGTATATTATTTTGGTTGTTGTTTGTTTGTTGTTTGGTTTTAGTTTTAAAATTTGATTTTTGAAACGGTAACCAATGAGGTTAGCTCTAACACAAAATACAGAAGTAAATACTTTGTTTCAGCAAACCACATGCATTATTTATGGTCCGATGTTACGTTAATGACAATGAAATGAATGAAAAGAATAAATAGTGGTAATGACAGTGGTGACGTTGATGCTGACGATGATGATAATGATGTAGTATGATTGATTGCCTATAGTTCTGATGTAAACGAAGTCGAATGATGATGATGATGAAGATGATGACAATGATGAAGATGATGACGATAATGATAATGATGATGATGATGATGATGATGAAATAGATGATGATGATTATAATGATAACAATATTGATAGTGTTGACGATAGTTATACCATGACAGACTTTTATTTAATATACTAATGACGTAGATAAAGATATTGGTGATGAAATATATGATGATAGTCCTGACATTAACGATGGGCATGATGATGGTGAAGATGATGCCGATGATGATGATTATGATGATGATGATGATGGAAATGATAGAAACATTGATACTGATAATTAGAGTGATACCGTGACAAGGTTTCTTTTCATAATGATGACGTTTATGACAAGGTCAGGGATAAAATAGATGATGATAGTTAAGATTTGGCCGATTGGCGTAATGATGATGTTGACGGTGTTGGTAGTAGTAATGAATAATGATGGCAATGATGAGGATGATGTTTATGAAAATATGTTGATAATTACCATACAATTTATTACATTATGATTAGGATGATAATGACGTCATCACCATCATCACCACTATCATCAGCAGCAGCATCTAAAATCTTATCATCATTTTTGTCACTGTTATTTTCAAATTTCACATCATCATCAATGTCACAAATTAATAGGTTACACGGCAGACTCGCATCTTACACTTACTTACACGTCATGTTTACATTTTGTTTTAGATGGCGCTCTTTAAAAAAAGTTGTATGGTGCGTTTAGATCTATTTTGGCAAATTAAAGCAATTTTGTCCTGTACGTAACCCACGAAAATATATCATATCGATTACTCTACTTGAACTAAGATTTAAAAAAATTATCAACTCAATTGACACTTCTATTTGCATTAATTCATTTTCCTGATCATGATTCCATAATCCCATAATTCCCTTTTTTTTTTAATTTTGCTTAGGGGGACAGGGGTGGTCTAGGTGGCGGGGCAGGCGGGGGACTGCAATGAGTGAACAAAGCGCACGAATGGGTCAAGAATATTATTTAAGGGAGCAACAGAAAAAGAAGGAACATATTTCTCCTTAGGAAGGGCATTTATTTTATTGCCGGGGTAGTAATTTGTTTGCTTGGAAGTGCCATTTTTGGAGGGACATTTTTGTTGGTTCCAGATCCATTTATACACAGAATTTGGCCAACTTGGTTTCACTTGGTCACAACATGGCATATGTTCTTTTGTTCTGTGCTTGCCCAACAAAGCAGTATTCGCTAAAGTGTGCCCAGCTCGAACCGTGTCGGTCACACTCTCCAGATCAATTGCTCTGACAGGTCCTGTTGTGGGACGCCCTCTCCCTCACCCCTCCCCCACCCACCCCCTCATCATCTCGGTTTCTCCCACGCTCACAAATCAATAGGATATCAGGTTATTTCCTGCCAAACGTGACGATGATAAACCTGAAAACCAAATTTAATGTTTGATCATCAAAGCCACATTTTCCAAGGACATATCCCCAGGAAGCATTCAAATAATATTATATTTCAGACTTAGCTCGAGTCGAATAAGAATGAAAACGTAGACTACCTACTATGTGGGCTACCACATAATGAAAATGTGTTTATTATACATTTTGATAG